CAACTATCAAATATTTATTATAATCCTATATAATAAATAATAACAACTCCTAATGTGGTTACTACCAATCACCTAATTAAAAAGGACCAAACAGTTAAATATGAGTCATTAAACAAACTCAATTTAAATTAAATATAAGTCATGGGTCCCACCCATAAGCCAAACACAGTCCAATTATATATCAAAATAGACTCAACAATTTATCTCAAATCATGGCCCCAAACACCCAAAACTCAAATTTCAAATTCTGCTATAAATTAAACTGAACACCAATCAGTCTACAAATTCTCATAAAATAAATACTCACCATTAAATTCGAAATTTTTTATTCCACATGCTAGACTCTTATAAAAACAACATAATAAAAATTTCATAATTTCAGATATCGAAAATTATATTTAAAAAAAATTATTACAAAACCGAACCATTTTCGCACATAACTTTATACAACACTCCAATCCAATTATTACTCAATTAATTTAAGTATTGACTAGTTAAAAAAAATATTTTGGGTTATTACAACCACGAGAGGTGGACATGCAAAGACTTAGATTCGAGGTGGAGAGCATGTTGACGCAACTTTTGCAGAATGGTGGTGCTATAAACCAAATTTCCCCTAATAGGTAGTCATGGTGTTGGGTAAGTCTCTTTAATTTCTTTCAAATTTATGTGGAAAAAATCCAAAATAGCCACCACATTGTCCATAGACCATCACAAGCACCTCACCCTAGATTAAACAAACTTGTGAGAGCAAGCGACACATCGATAGGATGCAAGATTAGAGAATTAGATGGAAAAAAAAAGAAAAAAAAAAAGAAGAAAGCGAGCCATTGGAGGGGGCAAAAATGCAAAACATCTGGCAATTTGCTCAAAGACCATCATGGACACCTCTCTCTAGATTAAAGAAACTTGTGAGAGTAAGCAGCAGGTCGATAGGATGCATGATTAGAGAATTAGAGACAAAAATGTGAAAAAAAAGAAAAGAAAACGAGCCATTGGGGGGAAAAAATGCAAAACAATTGCTAATCTATTTGGAGACAATCACGAACACTTCTCCCTAGATTAAACAAACTTGTGAGAGCAAGCGATGCATCGATAGGACACACGATTAGACAATTATAGATGAAAATGTGAGAAAAAAAAGGCGAAAACGAGCCGTTTGGGAGCAAAAATGCAAACATTTGCCAATCTTCTTGGAGACCATCATGGAAACCTCTCCCTAGATTAAATAAACATGTGAGAGCAAGTGGGGTGTCGCTAGGATGCACAATTAGAGAATTAGAGACAAGAATGTGAGAAAAACGCGAAAACAAGCCATTAGGGAGAAAAATGTGAAACATCTTCTAATTTGCTCGGAGACCATCATGGACACCTCGCCCTAAATTAAACAAACTAGTGAGAGCAAGTGGTGCATTGATAGGACACACAATTAAAGAATTAGAGACAAATGTTAGAAAAAAAATTCAAATTAAATAGTGACAACATTACATAAGTCGCAAGATCGAAAATTAGTTATGCTCATAATCATCTATTGCGCCACAAACAATAATTATCCACAATTTAATTTAATTCATGCGCAAAATATTGACTTTTGGGAGTAAATCTACAAAGATTTCTCTCAACCGAACAACCTCCCACTAACTATGGCATGTCTAAAGCATGATAAAATATTTAACTTCACATGATAACATCTCAATGTAATTCATAAAAGAAAGCATGCTAAATTAATTTAATCATAGAATTAAAATTCACAAATATAAATAAATCATGATATTTAAAATAATAATATACTACAAGTTCTAAACATTTAAAAAAACTTAACATGCTATATACAGTATTTAAATAATGTCACAACACATTTCAAATAATTTATGCAATTTTTTAGAATTTTCTAGAATTATAAGTAATTAATAATTACACAGAAAATCATAAACAAATATTATAGAATCTGGAAAAATGAAAAAAAAAATCATACCAGTAAATAAGATTATATAGCAGTAGTCTACCATAAAAAATTAAAGTTTAGAATCCAAGTCATGCTCCCCAAAGAGCAATATAATGTAAAAATATTGAGTTATTCATTAATGGAAAATATTTTATTTTTCAAAAATTTTTGAAACTATAATATATTGTAGAAATATGAATTACGAGTCCAACCATATAAGTCATGCTTCAATCAAAATTATAACTAGTTTTGAATTTCAGGAAAGCCAAACAGGGCCCTTGCCCATTAGCAGCTACCAACAACGCTTGCGTCAGCGTCCAGACTTTAGTGTGTGATGATGACGTCAACAACCGTCAATTTGCTTCCATGCTTTAACTCTCACTCAAAACTAGGGTTTGAGTTTTTTCCTTGACCTTAAGTTGAAATTAGGCCCATAATATACTGTTTCGAAGGTCTGGAAACAAGGATTCCAAATATATATTTTTCACAGCATCAAAACAAAACAAGTAAAATCAACACACAGCCAAAGTTATAAAAATTAAATATGAATCTCTATTTTTCTAAAATTTGACCGTTCGATTTTTTGAAAACTTTGCAGATATACTTTATATTATATGGACTACAACATATAAAAAATTTAAGACGATCAGAGATGGTTCAAAAACATCAATTTTTATGCACAAATCATGTCTTTACATATATTCATGCACAAATAATACGAAAACACCTAACAGTGGCTTTGATATCAATGTAGGGGAAAAAAAATAATACATCGTGGAAATAAATGGAATCGGGCATAACTTTTACACTCAAACTGAATCCACGGATCATGTGGGTAAATCACGTGCCTCCATTGATGTCCTTGAATAATTTCCAATTGTGGAGCAGAGCTATTAGAGAACTACCGACACTCTTTACAGTACAAAGACATGGTTCTGTATTTCCATGGAGAGAGAGAAAAAAACAATAGAGGAGACTCCAGGAGACTAATTAGCTACGGTTAAAATTAAGTCTCACCATATAATACTTATATTATATGGGAGTGTTATAACTACCCACAACTCTATGTCTTCAATAGATGAGGTAGTGGGTTAATCACACTTATCCCCAAGGAAAATTAATCCAAGTCTACTTTGACTGGGTCTCTCCTTATGAATCTTGGATCATGCCACCATGGGTACCCAATCGGGTATAGATTCTAAACCTGACCCAATTTCCAACAAATATGCACAGGACTTTTGAGTCTATCCAAAATATTTTAAAATTAAATAGAGCATACACTTTTTAAAAAATTTATGGATAATTTGCCCATACATTTTAGTGTTCAAAAATACTTAAAACTGTCAACTATTGGATTCAAGCTAGTTTATAGCCCTATTCCCAAACAGGACCCGTCCGGGCCTAAGGCTAGTGAGGCCTGTGCCTTAAGCCCAAAAAATTGACCCAAAATAGGACCCCAAATTTTAGTGAAGTGTTATAGGCCAAAATTTTATTTTATTTTATTTTATTTTTGTTTTAGGGCCAATTTAAAGGGCCCCAAAATATTCTATTGGGCCCATGTTTATGTGTAAGTGTGGTTTGGCCCATATTTATTAAAATTAAAAATATATACAAAAAAGTGTTTGGAACCCAAGAAGAACAATAAATACATGTAAGTGTGGTGACTTACTCTCTCTCACACTCACTCACTCTCTCTCATAGTAAGTCCTTTCTCTCACTATCAGATTTAATTAAATAAAGTTGCCTAATTTTTTTTCTACCTTTTTTTCTTATCAATTAGTGGAATAATAAATTTTTCCTAATTATTTTTTTATTTTTTATTTATTTTTTTATTTTTTACCTTCTTTATCTATTAGATGTTAATAGAATAAATAATTTTGCCCTAATTTTTTTACCTAGGTCATTATCAATTTTAATTGAATAATTTTTTCCTAATTTTTTTGCCCTAATTTTGTTTCATTAAATTGTTTTTTTATAATTTATTTTCTATCAAATATGAGATAGTCAGCGGATTGTGATTTATGGATTGAAGTGTGATTATAGTCATGTTTCCTATGAGATAACAATTTTTTAATGTTTTTGAGTCATTGTATTGATTTCTTTCTATCTTAGGGTTGGTTTGGCATCCATGAAAAAAGGCAAAAAGCTAAAAAATTACTTAAAAAGTTAAAAAGTTATCACTATTCACAAAAATATAAATATATATATATATAACAAATTAAAAAAAAAGTACAAGTCAAGTTTTGGCATGGCAATGATGGTGCTGTCTGGTGCTGTCAGAACATATATGTATATATATATATATGTGAATAAATATTATTGGAATGATGAGCTGTCATAGCATATATGTATATAGGCTGAGGTGTCACGGGTATTGTTCGGCCAGTGGGAGCTTACCACGGGTCCCATTTTGATAATCGGAGCTGTTCAATGTGTAGAACTCGTCGAGTACTAGATGGCTGTAAAAAATCATATTGATCGGATATCGATAACTATATGATCAAATCAGTTTTGTATAAAAAAAAAGAATGTGCACAAAGTAACGGTTGACAAAAAACTAATTCGATCAAATAGCTATCGACATCCGATCAACATGATTTTTCATAATCATATAGTACTTGACGAGTTCTACACATTGATCGGTTCCGATTACCAAAACGGAACTCGTGGTGGGCCCCTACTGGTCGAACAACACTGTCCAGTCCGAACATCACCGTAGGCAATCTGGTCCTAGCTGCCCACTGTATGCATGACGGTACCATCACTGTCAGTAGGCATTTATATATGTAGGGGTAATATAGTAATTTTGTTATTTTGCACAATATTTTAATACATACTTTTTCTTAAAAAGTCAAAAAGTTATCCCAAACAACTATATTTTTTTCCTTTACTTTTTAGTCCAAAAAGTCAAAAAGTGCACTTATTTAGAATACCCCAAACAATCCCTTAATATATGAAAGTAAATTTTAATTTATAATTTTAATGATTATATATACAAGTAAACTTAAATAAAAAAAATTGTTGATATTTATCATTTTATGCATAAACTTTTTATTAAAAAAATATATATTAGAGGGTCCTATTTTCATAGTTTGCCTTAAGCCTCACAAATCTCAGGACTGGCCCTACTCCCAAACTAGAAAGAGTAAAACGCTATTACGAATTACTGACCTTTAGACACCTATAACAAATATACCAATGAAGTTTAAGATATGGCACATAAATATTACACAACAAATAATAACAGTCCTAAAGGACATGGACATAAACTTAAATCTGAAACCTTGTAAGAATTGCAGTTGTCAAGGACTCCACACTTGTTATCCCATTAGGAATTGTAACCACAACATCTTGAAGAATCAGCTCCTTCACTTTGGAAACACTGGCATGAGTAACTCCAAAGTCAAGGCCTCTCAGTGTATCCATCAACCTTGCACAAGGGTAATTCACGTCCACACAGTGCACTTGAATCATCGCATCTGTTCCTAACATCTTCACCTCCACTTCTGCATCCGCTGCATTAGCAATCCCATAGCTAGACGAGGATGATGATGAAAACGCACTTGGGTTGTTGTTATACATGTCCGTCATACATACCTGTTGTGGGAATTGAATAACATTTATCTTAAATCAATTTAATAGAATAATATTGAAAACAAAACAGATTCTGAAAAATAGGTTTTACAATTCAACAAAACTATATATACATATATATAACAGAATAAGTAAAAGATGAAAGGGTTCAAAAAAAAGCCTGTGTGATTATGAGAGGCACGTCAAAGACGCTGTCCTAAAGTCATTATACGCTCCCTCTGTGCAGGTTCTAACGATCACAAATGACTCCAAGATACAACTCAAAAACTTTACAAGATCTGATACAATGCACAGTTGTACCAGAAGAATTTGCCAAGAATGTATCAATTGCCCAGAAATATGAAATATAAAATACCGTAAAGAGAAGAAGGAGAGAGAGAAAACAAAGTACGTTATTCTTTCCTGAGTAAGAGTCCAATTTAAATAGGCTCTTTGGTATCTGTTTGGAACAGAAACACCTTTTGATTTAAAACCAAAAACAAATTTAAAATTCAAATAAATAAGACTATAAAAGGAAATAAATAAATAAATAATAAATAAAAATAATTAAAGTTTTGAAGCTTTTAGGAAATCTCCAACAATCCCCTACAAGATTCAAAACTTTGTAAAACAGTCAAATAAAAATAAATAAATAAATAAATAAAAATAATATGGGCAACTTTAAAACCATACAATGGGTGTAGGTGTTTTTCAAACTTGAACCTCACTTAGTGTTAACAGTTTCATTCTGAAAGAATCTTAGTGAACTGGGTCTTGAACTAAATCATTTTACCAGAATTCAACATGTTACACATATGGTATGATACATAACTGTGGCGCGAGTTAGCACTATTAGCAGCCATGTGCTCAATCTTGATTCTCATGAGAGTTTTAGGAAATAGCCCAATTTCCACGGTCGCGGCTTCACGATGCTCTCACTTAGGTGAATCCTCCAAAGATAGAAGTGACGGATGTCTATCTTGCGAGAGTTTGCTCGCCTCGGATTCATTTAGAGTAAATACTCTTCCTTAACCATCACATTTACATCAGCACTGATTTCTTAGGGATAAGCAGGAGAATACAAATAATAAGTTTAATAAAGTCTCCGTCTTTAAAGTGCTGGAATACGAGTCACACTGTAAGGATTGATCCTACCCATTGAACTTTCTTCATGGGATCTCCAATCACAGAAGTTGGGTTACTTCCGTAGTTGACTCCTTATGGGCTTAGACCCATCCCCCTCGATAAATCCAAGACTACACTCTTAGATAAACCTTTTGTTAACTGATCAGCAATATTCTTTTCAGATTTCACAAAATTCAAAGATACAACATTTTTATTCACCAAACTTGTTATAGATTTATACCTCACTTGCATATACCTATTCATCTTTTTATTAGTATGTGCTTGTCTCACAAGTTCTATTACAGCTCTATTACCACAATGTATAGAAATAATAGGTATAGGATTTTTCACAAGTGAAATATCAAGGAGTAAATTTTTAATCTACTCAGCTTCAATACACGTAGTATCTAAGGCTATAAGTTCTGATTCTTTTGTACTTCTAGAGATAACGGTTTGTTTTTTAGAACCCCATGATATTACTGCTCCACCTAACATAAATATATACCCAGTAGTAGACTTAACATCTAAGTTATCTGTTATCCAATTAGCATCACTATAACCTTCTACCACATTAGGAAAACCACTAAAGCAAAGTGAATAATCTAGAGTTCCTCTTAAATATTCAAAAACTCTTTCCACAGCAATCCAATGATCTTTACTAGGATTATGAGTATGTCTACTTAATCTCTCAACAGCATAGGCAATATCAGGTCTAGTCTTATTAGCAATATAGAGAAGTGATCCAATAATTTGAGAATATCTAAGTTGAGATACAGGTACACTATTATTTTTTTTTCAAATTCATGCTAGGATCAAAAGGAGTTGAAACAGGTTTGAGATTATAATAATCAAACTTTTTTAACATTTTCTCTAGGATTCTAGATTGATTCAATATAATACCTTTGGTTGTTTTCTCTAATTTCATACCCAAAATTATATAAGCTTCTCCTAAATCTTTCATATCAAATTTTGAAGATAAATAAGATTTCACATTATTAATTATTTCTAAATTTGTTCCAAATAATAAGATATCATCAACATATAAACACAAAATAATACATTCCCCACTATCGTCTTTATAGTATACACATTTGTCATGATCATTGATCTTAAAACCAAATTCTAGAATTATCTTATCAAACTTTTCATGCCACTGTTTAGGAGCTTGCTTAAGTCCATACAAAGATTTAACCAACTTGCAAACCTTATGTTCTTGTCCTTTAACCACAAAACCTTCAGGTTGCTCCATATAAATTTCTTCATCTAAATCTCCATTCAAAAAAGCAGTTTTAACGTCCATTTGATGAATTTCTAAATTATAAATGGATGCTAGAGCAATTAAGATTCTAATGGTTGTGATCCTAGAAACAGGTGAATATGTATCGAAAAAATCTATTCCTTTCTTTTGTGTAAATCCCTTAGCTACTAATCTTGCCTTATATTTTTCTATACTTCCATCAGGTTTTAATTTCTTCCTAAATACCCATTTGCAACCGATAGCTTTACTCCCAGGAGGCAGGTTAGTCAACTCCCAAGTATTATTTTGAAGAATAGATTCAAACTCACTATTAATGGCTTCCTTCCAAAATGGTGCATCTAAAGATGATAAAGCTTCTATAAAAGTATTTGGTTCTCCCTCAGTTAGAAAAGTATAAAAATCATCTCCAAAGGATTTCTCTATTCTAGTTCTCTTACTTCTTCTAGGTTCTATATTTAGATGTTCATTCTAGTTCTCTTACTTCTTCTAGGTTTTATGTTTAGATGTTCAGAATCATCTCTCAAAGGAATAACACTAGTACTAGTAGTAGAAGTTCTATTTACAACTTGATTTGAGATCCTAGTTTTATATGGAAAAATATCTTCAAAAAATGTAGCTTCACGAGATTCAATTATTGTATTATTAGTAATTTCACTAATTTCAGAATTTATTACTAGAATTCTATTAGCACTACTATTTTGAGTATATTCTAAGAAAACGGTATCCACAGTGTTAGGTCCTATTTTCTTACGTTTAGGTTCTGGAATTGCTACTTTTGTTAAACACCTCCACACTCTTAACATTTTAAGATTAGGTACTCGTTTTTTCCAGATTTCATAAGGTGTTTTATCATTATCATTCACAATTACTCTATTTAATATAACACAAGCAGTGAGTATCGCTTCCCCCCACAAGCTCTCCGGTAAACCAGATCTAATAAGCATTGCATTTATCATATCCATAAGAGTTCTATTTTTCCTTTCAGCTATCCCATTAGATTGTGGAGAATAAGGTGGGGTTACTTCATGAATAATTCCATGTTCTTCACAAAGAATACTAAGGGTACCTACATTATATTCACCTCCTCTATCATATCTAGGTTTCTTAATCTTTTTTTCTAATTGATTTTCTACTTCAGCTTTATAAATTTTAAATTTACTAAACACTTCATCTTTGGTTTTAATTAAATATAAGTAACAAAATTTAGAACAATCATCTATAAAGGTTACAAAATACTTATTTCCTACTCTAGTTAGTGGTCTATTAGAATCATAAACGTCACTATGTATAAGGTCTAAGAGTTGTAAATTTCTTCGTACAGATTTATAAGGTTTCTTAGGTTGTTTTGCTTGCACACATATTTCACATTTGCGTTTAACATCAATAGATGATTTAGGTACTAATTCTAAATCCATCATTTTCCTAATTTTCATTAAATTCACATGTCCAAGTCTTCTATGCCGCAAATCACAAACTTCAATATTCAAAATATTATGAGAGATATAGTTAACTTCAAAAGATACATTCAATTTAAATAAACCATCATATACAAAACCTTTACCAATAAAAATATCATTTTTACTGATTACAATTTTATTCGATTTCATTACAATTTTGTAACCTAACTGTACTAAACACGATCCACTAATAAGATTTCTTCTAACTTTAGAAACATATCGCACATCTCTCAATGTTAAGATTTTTCCAGAAGTCATCTTCAAATCTATATCTCCAATGCCAAGTATCGATGCAATTGATCCATTTCCCAAAGTTACACTTCCTCTACTTGATTTCTGGAAAGTTTTAAAATAACCACAATTAAAACACACATGTATATTAACCCCAGAATCTAACCACCAATCTTGATATTTAAAAGTAGAATTAATTTCAGGATTATACCTAAAGATGGTCCGGCAATTTCTTCTTTCTCCAAAATCATATTCACATGAGCATTATGACCTTGATTTCTTTGCTTATTGTTGAACCTTGGTTTATACTCATCAGTCTTCTTAAAAAAACAATCTTTTGCATAATGATTTGTTCTTCCACATACATAGCACAACTTTTTGCCACTCCCTTGTCCCTTAAAATTATTAGCATTCGCTTGGTAGGTGTTATTATGGTGTTTGCCAGTTTGACCTCTAGATTTAAACTTAAGGTTGTTCTTGAAAATTTTACCTATAGGTCGAAAGTTATTCCTATTGTTGGAACTATTCTTATTCTCATTCTCCACCACATTTACCTTAGACGTTTTCTCTTTTCCAGTTTCTAGATTTGATCTATGTTTCTCTTCCACCCTAAGTGTATTGATTAATTGAGTTAATGACAGATCACCTTGTTTGTGCCTAAGACGCTTAACAAAGTCGTTCCAAGATTGAGGTAATTTATTGATAAGACAAGACACTTTAAACTCCTCACTAAAAGTTGTCCCTTTCTTTTCTACTTTTCTAAGTAGTTCTTGAAACTCATGAATTTGATCTCCTACAAATATGTCATCTTTCATTTTATAACCATTAAAATTAGAGACAATGAACCTATCAATATCAGCATCCACAGTTCCATATTTGGCCTCTAAGGTTTTCCATAGTTCTTTTGCAGTCGAGGTGGTTGACTGATATACATCATATAAATGATCAGATAACACACTGAGGATTCTATTATAATAATGAAATTCGATTTGTTCGGATGACAACCAAGATCCAACTAAATCCTGATCTTCTATGACAGACATAAGACCCAACACGGTCAACTAATATCTTGTTTGTTTTTGCCATCTTTCAAAATTGTTACAATTAAATTTTTCAAGTTTCACACTAACAGTTTCTTCTAAATTAGCCATAAAATAAATTAGTTAAGGTACAAGAGAGTAGGCAATTATAAAATCTGTGTGATACAACAATAAAACAATCACAAATGTTAGGAAGAGATAAATTTAGATAAATCTGATTGAAAAATTAATTGCCAACAATTTAGGAAGAGATAAAATGTGACAAATTTTTTATATAGATCAAATCTAAACACAATAATTTATAACATGAACAATGCTAATTAAATATCATGAATCTAAACAACATAATTTATCATGTAAAAATTTTGATTTTACTCAATAACTTTTCTAAGAATAATTAATATAAAAAAAAAAACTACACATAAACAACGAGTTTTACAACTTCCATGGATTAATATATATATATATATATAAGTCAATATTTGAGAACACAGTTACACTGTTTTCGAAAAAAAAAAAACAAAGAAAAATAAAAAAATAAAAATGAATAAGATCAAAGTAATCCTATTCAACAAACGGGTCTTGTTTGAAGTTTAAGACCTCGTTTGGGAACATGCTAATTTAGTAACTTTTTGACTATTTGGCTAAAGAAGTAGGTAAAAAAAACTTATATGTTTGGGATGACTTTTTGGCTAATTACGAAAAGATGTGCAAAAAGTAGAGAGAAAATAGAATCTTTGACTTTTTGGTATGAGTTGTTGGCTTTTTGACTAAAAAGTTAACTTTTTGACTTTTTGGCTAAAAAAGTAAGTCCCCAAACGGGGCCTAAGTATAGGAACATGTTCTCTCTGCGGAAAGTCCGTCCACACCTATCTTGTTTTTCCAGTAATCGTATTTATTTATTTATTTTTTTAAACAGATTTGTTCAAGACCAACAAGTGCAATAATGAAACACAAATAATTAAAAGATTAAATATGTTACAGAAATAACGCCTTAAGATTGTTGTGGAAATTAGATAATATTTATCTTAAATCAATTTAATAGAATAATATTGAAAATAATATTGAAAACAAAACAGATTCTGAAAAACTAGGTTTTACAATTCAACAAAACTATATATACATATATATAACAGAATAAGTAAAAGATGAAAGGGTTCAGAAAAAAAGCGTGTGTGATTGTGAGAGGCACGTCAAAGACGTTGTTCTAAAGTCGTTATACGCTCCCTCCGTGCAGATTCTAACGATCACAAACGACTCCAAGATACAACTCAAAAACTTTACAAGATCTGATACAATGCACAATTATGCCAGAAGAATTTGCCAAGAATATATCAATTGCCCAGAAATATGAAATATAAAATACTGTAAAGAGAAGAAGGAGAGAGAGAAAACAGAGTACGTTATTCTTTCCTGAGTAAGAGTCCTATTTAAATAGGCTCTTTGGTATCTGTTTGGAACAGACACGCCTTTTGATTTGAGCCTTGTTTGGCATAACCTATATAATCCATCTTTTTATCTTTTTATCTTTTTTCCATCACATCACCTCTCTACTTTTCTGCACATCTTTTCGTAAAAAGACAAAAAGTACACTTTTTTAGGACACCCCAAACCAACCCTTAAAACCAAAAATAAATTTAAAATTCAAATAAATAAGACTATAAAAGAAAATAAATAAATAAATAATAAAATATAATAATAAATAAAAATAATTAAAGTTTTGAGGCTATTAGGAAATCTCCAACAATACCTTTGCCTTGTGGGATTGGGATTCTACTCGGTGTTTTGCCTCTAATTCCCCTACCTTCGCTTTAAGCTCTTTGATGTATGAAACTGCATCTGCAAGTACAGACGCTTTGTCCATCCTCGATACATTGGGCACCACACTTCGCAGTGCGTAGAATCGATTGTTCAGCTTCTCTCTCCGCTGCCTCTCTGCCTGCACATGGTTTATGGGTGGTGTTTCTCGGCTTCTCACTGTCTTCCTTCCTCTCTTCTTAGAACGAATGTTCATCAATTTTGAATTTGAGAAAAAAGGGCCTTCAAGATCAGAAGCCCCCGATTCAGACAATGATCGGCATGTTGTTGTAGTAATTTCTTTCTTCATATTCCTCTCTTCATAACTCTCTTTTGGAACACCAAAGTCTAGGAGGGAAAGATTAGGGTTCGGGGGAAACAGAATCTGAGGCTGTTTTGATACAGAGGTGATATCCTCAGAGTCAGAGCCAAAAAGAGACTTGGCTAGTTGGAGTAAACTCCAATCTTCTTTGATAATTTCTGAGGAACCCAGTTCAATAACACCATTTGAAGTTGAAATACAGACCAGAGTTTGAATCCCATGCCCATGAGCTTCTTTAGTCCTTTCACAATCGTAAAACTGCAGCTCATGATCACCGGTTAGCCACACATAAGCACCGGAACTAAAACTCCGGCCAACAATGTCATCTCCATCGACAAATGACTTTGTCACAGACACCATGTAAAACCACTCGGGGTCATGGCCATGATCATGTCCATTGTTGGTGGAAAGCTTGGCCTTAGAAGAGGCATAGTGTTTGGTGCCTCGGAAATGGCCATTACACCAAGAAAGAAGAAAGCGGTCATTGCTGTCTTCTGATGCTTGCCAAAAGATGGCGTAGACCCACCACTCACTTCGACTTTGCATGATGAATTGGAGGCGTTGTTGAATAGGTGGTGTTGTCCCATGAAACAAAAGTAATGGTGACGAAGAGGAAGAGATAATCTCAGCCATACGGTTCTCCTTGTTGCAAGGCACTGCACTGCACTGCACTACACTCACAAATTTTCTAGATATAGACGTCTGGTTTGGGGTGTTAGTTATTTTAATTTTTGATTATTTTAGTAGGTTAAAATATTTATATTTCGAAAGATGATTGATTTATTTTTTATTTTTTATAAATAGATATAATATTTGTAAAAAAAAAAAATTATAAATTTAATATAATATTTTCTTTTATTAATTATTTTAATTTATATTTTTTTTAAATAGATATAATATTTGTAAAAAAAAATAATTATAAATTTAATATGATATTTTCTTTTATTAATTATTTTAATTTATTTTATTTTTTTGCGTGAATTTTAGCATAAAAAATAAAAAATAGTCTTTGCCAAACGAGGCGAGAGAGAGAGAGAGAGAGAGGAGAAATAATGTAGAGCAATGCTAGGTATCATGAAAAAACTTTCATGAAAATGATCATGAAAGATTTATGACCCTTGGATTACACTTAAAATAAAACACCACACACTAATCAAGGTAATCCAACGGTCATAAATTTTTCATGACCAGTTTCATGAAAGCTTTTTCATGATCCCTATCTTTTCTCAATAATGTATGAGGTCGGTCACCAATCAACATAATAAAGCGGTACCAAAAACTGTTTGCAGTGGGGCTTTTGAAAAATGAGTGATTATTCGGTGAATTTTGAGTAAGGATTCTTTTTAAATTCTCTCCTTGCCTCTCTATTTGATAAGTTATTGGATTTATTTTTGGACTCAATTTTAATAATCCAAACCGTTCACATTTTAAGATTTGTCATGTATATCATATCTGTTAAAAATCAAGTCGATCGGATATCGAAAACCATATGAACTAAAAGTTTTATTAAACAATAAAATTGTTTATTAAATTTCTTTTAATAAATGATTTTTAGTTCTTTTAATATCCGATCAACTTGATTTTTTTACAAGTATGATATACATGAAAAATCTTAAAATGTGAACGATTTAGATTATCGAAATTAAACCTAAAAGTGGACTTAATAGCCCACCAAATAATGAGCTAAGGAGAAGATTCAAGGAGACGATCTTGCTAAATTTTAACATAAAAACCAAATAATGAGATAAGGAGAAGATCCAAGAAGACGATCTTGCTAAATTTTAACATAAAAAACAAAAAATAGCCTTTGCCAAACAAGGAGAGAGAGAGAGAGAGAGAGAGTGAGTGGTGATTATTCACTATTCTTGAAGTATGGACACATGGTGCTCTATAAGATTTTGATTGAAAAAGAGGGGTAGAGGTTCAAAATTTATATTGGGAATGAGATAATCACATGAGATTATGTAATTGATGATTAACTTCAAATATGATTACCTAATTTTCTAAAATTATTGAATAATTTCCAGAGAGGGAGAGATACGAGGAAGGACAAACAATGTATGAGGTTGGTAACCAATCAATATAATAAAGTGGTACCAAAAACTGTTTGCAGTGGGGGATTTAAAAAATGAGTGATTATTCGATATCACGTACTATTTTATGATAATATAATTGATAAAAAAAATAAAATATTAATTATTTATATTAAATGATTGAAAAATATAAAAAGACATAATAAATAATTATTAATAAAAAAAATATAATCACATAATACTCTCAAACTATTGCATAATTTTACTTCAATAACATTTTCACATGGGATATTTGATCACCAATTGGGAACTGGAAGGGAATGAAAATAATGTACAAAGGTAACCAATCAATATAATAGGGAGAAGGACTCATCCGTCCAAAATCTGGATTAGAGGGAGATTTGTTACAGGTTTTATTTTAATAATTTGAATAGTTTATTTTGTCAAATATTTTATATATTTCATTCGTAAAAGAAAAAATTAAATTAATCCATGACTACAACTTATTCAATTTATTATTTTTGTTATATAAAAAATATATATATGATTTCTTTTTTAAAAAGACAATTATCGTCTGTTTATTTTAGTAAAAAAAACACGATAAATTAAACAAATTATAGTTATCAGATTAACATAATCTTTTTTTTTAAATATAGTATATAAAGTATTTAACAAAATAAACAATTAGAATAAACGTAACTCGTAATAAGCGTCACCAGCCCAAACAATCCTCTTTAGACAGGAGGAATTCCTCCTATAATAAAGTGGTACCACAAACTGTTTTGTGGGACATTTGCTTATAATAAAGTGGTACCACAAACTGTTTTGTGGGACATTTGATCACCGACTGGGAATTGAAAGAAATAAAAATCGAATAGAGAGCTGCTGCAGACCCCCAGTGGGGGTCGCAGTCACCAGCCCAAACAATCCTCTTTAGACAGGAGGAATTCCTCCTCCTATAATAAAGCGGTACCACAAACTGTTTTGTGGGACATTTGATCACCGACTGGGAATTGAAAGAAATAAAAACCGAATAGAGAGCTGCTGCCGACCCATAGTGGGGGTCGCACTCCCAGTGAGGTGGCGCCATCTCACTGGGAGTCGACCCCCAGTGGGGGTCCGAAGCATTTTTCAAACCGAATAATACTGTAGATATTAGGAACATTATTCAGCTTGGTTCCATTTTTTTAAAAATACTTTTTAAAAATTTTTATTTTTATATTTTTTTTGTTTTTACAAATTTTTTTTAATATTTTAAGTAATTTTTTTACTTTTTAGACATACTTAACATAAATACACCTAAAAAGTAAAAACAATTATTAAAAAAATCTTTTAAAAATTCACTAAATACCAAAAATAAAAAAAATACAAGAATTTAGTACATTTTTTTATATTTTTATGTATTTATTAATTTTTTAAAATATTTTTTCACAAATTTTTTACTTTTTAGACACATCTAAGTAAGGTACATCTAAAAAAGTAAAAAAAAAAAATTAAAATTTTAAAAATATTCACTAAAAACAAAAAAATATGAAAACCAAAAAATTTAACTTTTAAAAAATTTAATACAAAAAACTCAAACTAAACACACTGATTAATATTTTTATCAAATATCTCATACGAATATATATTCAACACATTTAGGGTTGGTTTGGCATCTACTATATAATCTATCTTTTATCTTTTTATACTTTTTTCATCACATCTCCTCTCTATTTTTCTGCATATCTTTTCGTAAGAAGATAAAAAGTACACTTTTTTAAGACACTCCAAACTAACCCTTAATTAGTATTCATTTTTCATAAAATTTTATTTGTATCAGCCTATTGTACAGTACAGTACTACACAGATGTGAGCTTGTTGGTTGGCTGGCTGGGTGTTTTCGGTCTTGTCCCGTGGGATTTTTTTATTGCTTCAAAGATTTCAAATTTGACTCCTCTTTTCGCTCTATTATATGCTTTTGAGCATTCACGTTAGGCTGCCTATAATAATTTGAGTCGTGCTGGGTAGCTCGGAATGGGCTACCCTGAATCCTCCTAATTATTTTTTTATTTTTTTTTATTTTTTTATTTTTTTTATTTTTTTTCAGAAGCAGAGAAGGAGGAGAGGAGGAGGAAGGAGGGAGAGGGAGGAGGAGGAGGAGGAAAGAGGGGACTGGAGGGGGCCTTTCAGAAGCAGAGAAGGAGAAGAGGAGGAGGGAGGAGGAGGAAGGAGGGGACTGCGATGACGGGGCTGGGACGGCGGGGCTGGGCTGCGACGACGACCGGTGGCTGGGCGACGATCGGCGACTGGGCATCGACGGGCTGGGCGATCGGCGGCGACGTGCTGGGCGACGATCTCTTCTCTCTTCTTCTCTCTTTCTCTCCCTCTCCCTCCGAGCTGTTGTAGAGTCGAACATGGAAGAAGAAAAAATAAAGAAAAAAAAAATCCCCAAAACAACGTCGTTTTGGGGATTAGGGGGATTAGAGAGGGCCAAATTCGAGCTCTCAAACATTATTCTAATAATTTTTAGATTATATTAGTTATGTAAATTTTAAAATCATTCTTTCACCAGTTTCATTACATTAAAATTAAATTTAATATTATTATAGTAAATTATTATATGTAGCGATATATTATTCATGGATTATATGATATTTTATCATTTATTATTAAAGAGGGACCGAATATCCTGCTGGTCATCAAGTCGGATATCCTGCTAGACGATTGGATGTTTCCCTTCTTTTTTTTTTTTAATATGAAATACAATATTTAGTAGACATCTTGCCGGACAACCATCATATTTGCTACACCATATTTATTTATTTATTGTTTAGAATATGAAACTACAAATATATATATATATATATATAATACAAATCCCTGGATGTCTGGCCGAACAACCGCTATTAGCACTAATATATATTTTAAAAGCATCTCCAATGTTTACTCAAAATTTTCATCAAATTTGAATAAAAATTTGTTATGATATGTTGCGCTCTAATCGTTTCATCATATCTGGCTAGTCATCCAGCCGGTCATCCATCTTTAAGAAAAAATTTAGCGAAACTTCCCTAAGCCGGTCATCTATCCGGTTGACTAGGCGGTTGTTCACCAACGGTCGACTGCGAAATTTGATGTAAAGGTAAAGCTCCCTTGATTTGATGAAAAATCTGGCCTCGCCTTCATTTGATATGTGTTTGATGCCATGGTTAGAGCATAAAAAAGTGGTGTGTTTAATCAAATTTAAATTTGATGAAACATCTGAGTAAGCATTGGAGGCGCTCTTAGGAATATGAAACTATATAATAACAATACAAAATTAGCAACTTCTTATATGCTACTTTGGCTGCTTTTTTACATTATAAAATGAATATTTTATAAAATTTAATTTTAGAATATAGAGTCTGATGTAGTGCGTACAAACAAAAAAATTCTAGCTAAAATAGAAAAGTAATTTTTTAATTATAATTTGACTCAAAATTTGTTGAGATTGACATGGATGCTCTTACATTTTATTTGGATAGTATGAAAGTGAAAAAAAAAAATAATTATGTTTTTTTTAACTATTATACTTGGTTGAGTAAAAAACTAAAATATGTGAAAGAGGAATATGAGTGATATAGTTTTTTTTTTTTG